TTGGAGGAATGGCTGCTGTGGTGAGTAGATTTGGCTGGTGGAGTATGTGAAGAGTGTAACAGCAACCGGTAGTGTGGACTGACAAAACTAGAAGTGTGGTAAAATGGGTTGTTCATAGTTGCAGCATTGGGATCTATAGCTATTATATTAGCTAGGGGTCATATGATGTGGTCCGTTGTGTAGAGGTTGGTTTCATGTAGATCTAAGGAACTTAAAAATTGAAATTAGATGGTGAAAAAATTGATTCAACTTCCCAAGGGTGGTGATACTTGTGGAAGTTTAAAACAGTGGTTTTTAACAGGGCCAGGAATATTCTGTGGTTATTAATTGGTAAGGCTGGTGAAGGTGGTTCAGTAGGGTTGTACACATGGAACATAATGCAGCATTCCTGTCTGAAAGGTCTGCGAAGAGTTAGTACTAGGCAGGTTTTAGGTCTAGAAGACAATGTTGTTGAGGGTGTTTTAATACAAAACCTGTTTCTAGAGTTTTTGTATTTCCAAAGTTATTTACTTGGGAAGTGTAAGATTGTATATAGAAGATGCATCAGGATTTTGATATATCTTGCCTTGCTTCTTACCATTGAATATTATGTAAATATCAGTTATTATTTCATCTATGTATAAAATCCGCAGTGGGTCCCTTTGAGGGTATGAGGATGTTTGAACTCTTGGCAGTTTAATTCATTAGCTTTTTATACTTTGGTTGTTAAATGCCCACCCAACCTGAACCCGTTAAAGCACAGAAACGAGAACTGAAGTGTGAAAACCAGGAGATAAAGATCTGAGGGTTATATTGCAATGGCAGACTTCGGCCAGGAATGCAAAAAGACCATTACCTTTTGCTTTTATTTTTTCTTTCTTCTTCTCTTTTATGCTCTCTGTTAAAAGTAGATTCTATTGGAATTTTCATGTGTTAACTTTAGGGATTTATGGAATATTTGTCCGACACTTCTATGATCTTTTGTGCAAGCTCCACAGCTTAATTTCCATTACCTGGAATGTTTTTGGGTGTTGAAAATCCATTTTATTCATTGTTGGGGTGTAGTTGAAGAACATGATTCTCTTTTTGTTCTATTATTTATTCTGTTTGAACTAACAACTGATTCTGTCATTTACTAGAATGCCATATTTTAGGATTTATTCAGTGATGACCCAACTGCCTTTTGTTACTGTGACTGCATGTTGTACACTCAGCAGTTTTTAAGTGCTTGAATATGTAAAAGATTTGCCAATACTCTCTGATACCCTTCCATAATACTGTCACATGCTTTTAACTTCTTAGCTTTACATTAAATTCAAGTTATTCCCTTAAATTACTTGCATTTTATTTACAAGTAGGTGGTGCACCCCATAAACCCATCTTGTTGAATTATGCATTTCCATTATTTTCTGGGAAATTATGAGTTATGAATGGAGTATGATTATGTTAACTCTATCTATACCCGAATAGCTTGGTTTGGCAGGGCACAATATAATGACCCCTTTTGTGCATATTGTCTTATTGCCATAGTTGATTCTTCTGGCTCCGGTCCACTGTTCGTGGAAATATGATATGATATGTTATTTAATTCAAAGATACTTATGTAAAAGGCAGATTCCACCAAAATTAAAATGGATATCGTAAAAAAGCAAAAGAGTGACATGTGACCAGATGACAAACCTTTAACCACTGGGGTTTGTTATAGCTATAGATCTTGTGTTTGAGTTTTACTGTGTTCATTAAATTTGTAAGGTATTTCGTGGTCTTGAGAATTATGGAGACTCGTGGTCGGATGATAAACTTAGTTATTGGGGTTTGTTATACCTATGGGTCTTGTGTTTGAGTTTTACTGTATTCATTGGATTTGTAAAATATTATGTGGTCTTGAGAATTAGACAGACTTGACCGTGGATACCTTAGTTATTGAAATTAAAATTTGTAATTGGTGATAACAATGGTGTTTAGGTTATGGGGGACTTTAGGGCTAGAGAGTGATGTTTATGAAGGTTTTCTTGGTAGAATGTTAATCAAGCTTGGTTTAGATAGCTTAGAATAATACTACACTCACAATATTTTTATATAAACTTTATCTCGTAAACTTCTGTAGATAAAAGATAATTAGGTGAAAGTTTATTTTAAATTTAAAATCAATCAATCATTTTTTGTCACATAAATTTGTGAGAGAAAATTTGTATAAAAGAGTTGTAAGTGTAGTATTATTGGATAGCTGAACGGATGTATAGATTAAACATGTTTAATGGTTCTATAAGAAAGCTTTATTTTGAGCTGTATTTTCGGGGTCCTTTAACATATATACTACAGGCAAATATTAATTACTTATCATAATAATAAAGTGGTATAGGAAGATATCCACTTTTAATTAAGAAATATACTGGGGAAACACAACCTATAACATCTTAGAGAAATAAAAAGGAAAGTGAAAACTATCACCATCTTAGTTAGGGTTCAGAAAAGATGGGAATTACAGAGGAAGTTCACCGCTGTCAGCAATTACAACTCTGCTCTTTGGTTCGCCGCCTTGGGTCCCTTCAGCTTCCATCTTGTAAACAACATCCATTCCTGATAGAACCTTCCCGAATACAACATGTCTGCCATCCAACCTGTAAATAATCTCAGAGATCAGTCAAGACAATCTAAGGCTTGATATCTCTACATGCAAATCATAGCTGTTGTTTCCCTATACATCCATTAGTAAACCCATGGCAGCTTGTTTTATTTTTTATTTTTGTAGGAGTTCAATTTAGAAGATAATATAATACATGATTTTTTGGTGTATATGAAATTCTACATTTTGGAAGGTACTTAATGCAGAGTAAGGCAAGATTTTTTTTTTTTTTTCCCCCCTCTTTAAACCACACTTCATGCCATGCACAAATATAAATAGAAGTGAATTTTTCATAAGGCTGGTGTTTGGCATATTGATATTTAGACCCCTTGCTCTGACCATGCAAACAAGAGATGTTATTTACTTCATTCATTTTTTCAATTTTCTTTTATAAATTTCTTTGGAATCAGGGAATTAAGGATGATAAGGTATTCTTATTTATGGAATTATGGAATTTCACTTCTGGATTGCAGTTCTCTATTTTAAAAATTGTATGCTGCATATTGTGATGTAGTGTTTTGAATCGGATATACTTACCCATGTGGCTCTCGTTGTTTGTTCCTGTTAACTTCCCTCCTGTTATTCTTGTGGATTATTTTTGAGTAATCTGTGAGTTTATTGGGTTTGGGGACTCTTCATTTTTTCGATCAATCAAATAGGTAATTTTTCATTCAAACATCAATCTGGTGTTTTGGAGGAATGGCTGCTGTGGTGAGTAGATTTGGCTGGTGGAGTATGTGAAGAGTGTAATAGCAACCGGAAGTGTGGACTGACAAAACTAGAAGTGTGGTAAAATGGGTTGTTCATAGTTGCAGCATTGGGATCTATAGCTATTATATTAGCTAGGGGTCATATGATGTGGTCCGTTGTGTAGAGGTTGGTTTCATGTAGATCTAAGGAACTTAAAAATTGAAATTAGATGGTGAAAAAATTGATTCAACTTCCCAAGGGTGGTGATACTTGTGGAAGTTTAAAACAGTGGTTTTTAACAGGGCCAGGAATATTCTGTGGTTATTAATTGGTAAGGCTGGTGAAGGTGGTTCAGTAGGGTTGTACACATGGAACATAATGCAGCATTCCTGTCTGAAAGGTCTGCGAAGAGTTAGTACTAGGCAGGTTTTAGGTCTAGAAGACAATGTTGTTGAGGGTGTTTTAATACAAAACCTGTTTCTAGAGTTTTTGTATTTCCAAGGTTATTTACTTGGGAAGTGTAAGATTGTATATAGAAGATGCATCAGGATTTTGATATATCTTGCCTTGCTTCTTACCATTGAATATTATGTAAATATCAGTTATTATTTCATCTATGTATAAAATCCACAGTGGGTCCCTTTGAGGGTATGAGGATGTTTGAACTCTTGGCAGTTTAATTCATTAGCTTTTTATACTTTGGTTGTTAAATGCCCACCCAACCTGAACCCGTAAAAGCAGAGAAATGAGAACTGAAGTGTGAAAACCAGGAGATAAAGATCTGAGGGTTATATTGCAGTGGCAGACTTCAGCCAGGAATGCAAAAAGACCATTACCTTTTGCTTTTATTTTTTCTTTCTTCTTCTCTTTTATGCTTTCTCTTAAAAGTAGATTCTATTGGAATTTTCATGTGTTAACTTTAGGGATTTATGGAATATTTGTCCGACACTTCTATGATCTTTTGTGCAAGCTCCACAGCTTAATTTCCATTACCTGGAATGTTTTTGGGTGTTGAAAATCCATTTTATTCATTGTCGGGGTGTAGTTGAAGAACATGATTCTCTTTTGGGAGGCCACAGTATAATGATCCTTTTTGTGCATCTTGTCTTGTTGCCATAGTTGATTCTTCTGGCTCAGGTCCACTGTTCGTGGAAATATGATATGATATGTTATTTAATTCAAAGATACTTATGTAAAAGGCAGATTCCACCAAAAATTAAAATGGATATCGTAAAAAAGCGAAAGAGTGCCACTGGGGTTTGTTATAGCTATGGATCTTGTGTTTGAGTTTTACTGTATTCATTAGATATGTAAGGTATTCCATGGTCTTGAGAATTAGGGGAACTCGTGGTCGGATGACAAACCTTTAGTCACGGGGGTTTATTATACCTATGAGCCTTGCGTTTGAGTTTTACTGTGTTCATTGGATTTGTAAGATATTCTGTGGTCTTGAGAATTAGGTAGACTCGACTGATAATTATGCTTGAATACCTCAGTTATTGAAATTGAAATTTGTATTTACAATGGTGTTTAGGTTATGGAGGACTTTAGGGCTGGAGAGTGATGTTTCTGAAGGTTTTCTTAGTAGAATGTTAACCGAGCCTGGTTTAGATATAAGAAATATGCTGGGAAAACACAACCTATTACATTTCTAAACGTCTCTTAGAGAAATAAAAAGGAAAGCGAAAACTATCACCATCTTAATTAGGGTTCAGAAAATATGGGAATTACAGAGGAAGTTCACCGCTGTCAGCAATTACGACTCTGCTCTTTGGTTCGCCGCCTTGGGTCCCTTCAGCTTCCATCTTGTAAACAACATCCATTCCTGATAGCACCTTCCCGAATACAACATGTCTGCCATCCAACCTGTAAATAATCTCGGAGATCAGTCCAAGACAATCTAAGGCTTGATATCTCTACATGCAAATCATAGCTGTTGTTTCCCTCCCTATACATCAATTAGTAAACCCATGGCAACTACTATGTTGAAGGCTATATGTCTTAGTGGACTAAAAAAATTTCGGAAAAAAATTAAAATTCCCCGATTCTGACATGATTAAAATAAACTAAATCACTAGATAATATAATGGCAAAAGGAATCCCTAGATTATAGGTTTTTCCATCGCTTTCTCACGCATGCAGTTACTTACCAGCTAGTTGTGACGGTCGTGATGAAGAATTGTGAACCATTTGTGTCCCGACCAGCATTTGCCATTGACAAAAGCCCTGTTTACAGAAATACAAAGCAATGTTTGCTCGAATCATGCTTCAGGAAAATATAGCATTCATTCAAAAGAATAGGGATATCTATCATATACCTGGTCCAGTGTGCTTTAGCTTGAAGTTTTCATCAGCAAACTTATCTCCATAAATTGATTCTCCGCCTACTCCAGTTCCATGAGTAAAATCACCTCCTTGGATCATAAAGCTGGGAATAATCCTGTGGAATCCACTTCCCTTGTAATGGAGAGGTTTTCCACTCTTTCCAACACCTTTCTCCCCTGAAATGATAAAGATGCATCAATAAGATGTGGTGATTGGACTTGTCCAAGACTGCCTTGCACCCAATGGTTCCATGAAATACTTATGAATAACAGTTCGAACGATAGAATATCGTGAATGCTCTAATGGAATGTGAAGGAGGGCTCATTGCATCTCGAGTTCTCGACATTGATTTAAGTAACAAGATATCATGCTTTTGATAATTGATTTGAGTACCAATGTTTAAGAGAAAGCTAGGATCAATACTTTACCTGTGCACAGTGCTCTGAAATTTTCTGCAGAAAAAAGAATGATGCCGTCAATAACACTCAAACATAAAGGAAGCCAAGAAATTCCACAATTTTCTATGTAATATACACAACTATACCTGCAGTTTTAGGAACTGCCTTCCCAAAGAGACCCATGACGATACGACCTGAGAACAAACATTTTTACTGATAAACAACAACTTTTCAGGGAAAAATTCAATTAAACCAGATCAATACCATTCTTATATAATCAAGCTTTTTACATTAAAAAACAATCTATTTTCCATATCACAATATGAAATTTACAGTGATATTGAAAAAGTAAAGCATACCAGCAGGTTTTCCGGCAATCTCGACATCAAAGTAAACTTTGTGTGTAATTTCTTTCAAATCTGCCTTCTTTGCCTGAAACCCCACAAAAAAGAAGTTAAATTTCCACAGATCAGACATAATTAACAACACCCACTTCGCGTAATCGCTTTATTTTCATCAAATTGAATCAGGAATCAATCTCGATCTGACAATAAAACAAAAAGATCAACACAAACCTGAATTGAAGTGAAGGTGCCCAACAGGACTAGAGTCCCTAGAAGTGTGAGTGAAATCAGCTTTGTTAAAGCCATTGGATCTCTTACTTGCCTCTTCAGTATCTTCGTCGTTCGGCTACGAAGTGTACTTTTATATAGCGAAGGACGAACTCGCTGGTTGAATCATCGTCCACTAGTTTTGTGCCGCGTGGCTTGTTGGGTGTTTTGCTGGGACGCTATTGGCTGAGCACGTGTGGGTAGTGGGTTATTCAACTTATTCTGGTGATACGCTGCCGTTGTGGCTGATACTTGGGTGTAGCCAATAGGGGTGTTTGGTTCTGGGTACCTTGAATTTTTTTAAGGAATCGGAATTGAAATCGAAACTGATGGTTCTTTGAAATTTGGAACCGAAACCGGAACCGATGGTTCCGATTCTTGAGTACCCAAAACTAGAACTTGTAACAACGGTTCCAGTTCTGGATACCTATAAAATTACAATGACCCTCCAAAAGTTTTTAAAATGGAAAAAAAACTCTTAGAAACTTACAATACCCCCCCACCTAACACTTGTTAACAAAAATAAAATTATAAATTACAAATTCAAAATTACAAACTCCATTAGTTTGTAAAGGTAGATTCTCAAAAGTCAAACCAACTTACTTTAAATGTTATGAAATATAAATATAAATGTATTCACGTTACTTTTTCTACAAAAATGTTTATTAACCCTCATACTTTTTAATTTTATTTTATATTAGTCTTGGTTCCCGGTTCTGGTTCCAATCGGTTCTTTTAAACATCCCTAGTAGCCAATGCATTTACTTCAGGTATTAATTGAATAAGTTCATATTTATTAAGATAATCAAGAACAACAATTATATGTAGATATATATATGATGTTAATAGATGTATTGTTAATATGTTCAATAAATGTTTAGGTATTACCTAATGACTGTTTGAAAACCTGGCCTGGCCTAGCCACTTCTACCGGTCGAACTGGGACCTGCGACCTTCTCTGGACTAAGTCACCCCTGTCTATTGTTTAAAACCCCAAATTCACAAAGAAGCAAACCCTATAGAGGAGGGCGGCGATCGGGGAACAAACGATGGCGAGGTTGTTGGGGGGTTTTGGAGAGAAAGCATCGGTGAGTCGAAAGGTGGAGACAAAGGTGATTTTCGATGAGTGAAACTATTAGAAAAGGCAAAAGTTGGGTGGCCACAACAGCATATTGTTGTCGGCAATTGACGGGGCAAACAGGGCGAGGAGGGGGGGGGGGGAGGAGGGGGAGATGGGTTTTGGTCAGGAGGCTGAGGGGAGTGTTTTAGTGGTGAGGGGGGCGGTTGTTGACGTCGAAAAAAGGCCTGTTTGGCTTGGGTTGTTAGTTCCACGCGACAGACATGGTGGTGTTTTTTGCAAAAATTTGTTTGATTTCTGCTAGATGTTGGGCATATTTGCTAGGGAATGGCTCAAAGGATGAGTGGGATTTGCATTTGGTGTGTCGTCATCTCCAAGCAGTCAACCAACAATTTGCATTTGACCAAATCACAGGGGTATGTTTGCTAGATTTCAAACTTGTAGGAACTAATGGTAATTTCTTAGGGGTATGTTTGCTAGATTTCAAACCTCTAGACATGTTGATGTCACCGATCTGACCCGCTTGTCGGATCAATTCAACCGATCAATCTGAGACTCAACCACTTTGCCGGGTTCCACCCTAGGTCGGTTATTAAAACATTGTACCCAATAACCTTAAATTGTTTATTAATAGTGATTGATAATTATTGTTAGTGACAAAGAAAGATGCTACTCAATTAAATTAAGGAAGTATTATTAGGTACATTACAACTTAGAATGTGTAATTAATTATTTAAGTATTCCCCAAGACCCATCGTGGAACTCCAAGATTAGTTAGTTAAGGATTTCTTCAAGGGGCTGCTTTTACAGATTAGACAAAAACAATACCCTTCTTCAAGATTTCTACAATATAATCCAAACTCTGGTAAGGGGTATATTTGTCCATTCCTTTAATATTTTGATAACATTTGTAAAGATATGTGGGAAAGTGAAAATTAAAAGACCTTCAGGCTTCAACAAACTATCAGCCTTCCACATAACTACCAGTCGCGGGAAAAAATAAAATAAGAACAAGAGAAGACTGCTAGTTGAGTCTCCACCACCGCCTCTGACTCAACAATGGCTGATTCCCACCAAACTCTACATTGTCCCCAAAAAAAGAAGAAGAAAAGGAAACTCTAAAAATTTCTTTTATTGTTAAACTTTTTCATTCCTAAATTTTGTTCACCAGATTATGGAACAAGAATCATCAAATGGACATGGCCACCATAGCCATATTCAAAGTCAAAGCCAAAGCCAACATGACTCTGTCCCTTCTTCTTCTTTCTCTTCCATCGCTACTTCACAACTTCAAGAAGACAATGATGAACCCCAACAACAGCAACAACAACAACAACAACAGTCTTCTACTGCGTCGTATCATGTCAATAGCTCAATTTCAAATGTTGAACGCAGTGGCATGAGAGATGATGTTTGGTCTTGCTTTGTTGTACTTGTCACCTTCTGGTTCTTCGGTTCGTTTCTTTTCTTTTCATTTTCTTATTGAAACTCTTTCTGGGTGCTTGTTTCTACTGAGGTTTAATTTTAAATTTAATTTGTTTTTCTTTTGGTTTTGATTTCAACATTTATTACCAGCAGCTTCCATGACTATGATTCTTGGTATCTTTGGCTCTGTGGATTTACAATTGGGACCTAATTACTCGCGCCTCATACGAACTAATTCAATATTTGTTCAATCAATCAAGGTGGTTTTGAAGCATTTGTTGTTCAACTCATTCACATTGTGCCATGGCTGTGCTTTTAACACTTGTTTTTGCTTCATAACAGGTTGAAGAACTAGACCAGCAAAATTCTGGGTCATTAATGCTATATGGGTTTCACAAACCTCCTCCCTTGGATGTTGAAATTACCTGGACTGAGACTCACAATGCTGTAGTTCAAGTTGATTTGCACAAGGCACATATCCAACCCACTTGCTATATTTACTGCTTTTACTTATTTTTCAGTAAATTCTAGGAACTTTGCTTCGATTAATGGGGTGAAACTGTATTTTCTTCTTGTTTATAGGAGTGGTTATATTACCTTAACGAGGGGTCTGATGTGGTTATCTCATACAGAGTAATATCTCCAAGTTCCTCACCTTTATCCCTTGTAATTGCCAAAGGTAAATAATTTCTTGTCCAACAATTAGAAGCTTTTGGAAATTATAATTTGCTGTCTCATTCCTTTAATCAACTACCTTCTTACATGGTTGTATATCAATGGTGTCAAGAATCTGTGCTTGCAACATTTTATGGCTTGCAAGAAGTTGCAGGAACAGTTTATTAATTCTTCAGCTAACTGAGATCATAAATAAATTAGTTTTTTTTTTTTTTTTTTACCCTTTTAGAGGCAATTTTATACAGTAATTAAACTAATCTACCTGTAAATCTACTAGTTATGACTGGAATTGTAGGACTGCTTACCATTCCGTCTTGCACGATTGTGAAATGAGAAAAAAGAAAACTACTTGGTGCCAAAAAAGTAACCTGTTTTCAATTTATTCCTATTTTCTCTAACGTTTGCCTAAATTTGCAGGCAGTGAAAGCCTTGAAGAGTGGATTGACGACCCATCATATCCTAATACAACTTTGTCTTGGGATATTATAGATGGTAAAATTTATATGTTAAAATATGTTTTTTTTTTCACTTCATGATAGATTATATTGCTCTAACCTGGGTGCTTTTACTTCACAGGAAGTGGTAAGATCCAGCAAGAAATTTCTGAGTCTTCTACTTATTATATTGCTGTGGGTAACTTGAACTCTCAGGAAGTGGAGGTAATTCTCAAACATTTTCATTTTATACTCTTGTAGTATGATTTTATCAACTTTTAATGATTTCATCACCTTAGCTAGACAATTGAAGCCCCATTAATTATCTGGGCTCTGCCAGTGTGGCGGGGTTGCCCACTTGAAACTAAAATGCACCCGCATTTGCCTATTGATTTGGCTACATAAATAATCCTGTTACAGTTTTTTGAACCTTGCCCATCTTCGTTTTGAAATATTGATAGAGAACAATGGCCAGGGAGTTGCCAGCAGTAATAGGGAATTAAAATTTTGAGTTGCACTTTCCTATCAGCACTCAATTGATTCTTGTGCTACCTGTAGCCTTTTCCAATGAAAGTAAATGGGTGTTTGTGATAAACATAGAGCATTTTAATTTGTTGTTATAATCTTGTACTTGAGACTATATTTACAGAAATGTTGACAACTTCACATCATTAGACAATTTATTCCCATGTAAATTTGCCTTGTACAGGTACAATTGAATTTCACAATTAGTGCCTTCATCTATAATACGACTACGGCTTATTACAAGTGCTCATTGGGCAGCCGTTCGTGTAGTTTAACACTTCCTCTTCTAGGGGCAAATGCTGCTGTCCTTACATCTCCAGGTCCGACACAGGTAAAAAGATAAATATTTGTTAACTTTTTGCCACTTCAATGCTTTCCTATAGCTGTTCAAGGAATTTATCCCATAGATTTCCTGGTTCTCATATGTTGGTCAATGTTGACCTACAATTCAAGTTCTCTATGATTTTTGTATGTGAGTTTTGGATGTATTATGGTTGTTTTAGGGTTCCAGTGATACTTGGTCTGTCAAACTCTCATATGGACCCCGATGGATCGCATATTTTGTCGGATCAGGTTATTCTTGTTTCCCTTCAACTCATTTTCATGGAATCAGAAAGAAAAATGTCTCCATCTTTACATTTTTTGCCTTTCAATTTGTACTTGTAGGTGTGATGACCATCCTCATGTTATTGGCCTTTAGATTCTTTAGCCTGTTTGAGTCTACCAGTGGAAATGGAACAGGAATTCAAGCTGGAGATATGGGACCGGATCGGGCACCATTGCTTTCAAACAAAGATGACGATCTCTCCAGCTGGGGTTCATCTTACGATTCTGTGTCACATGATGATGAAGATTTGGATGAATGGCTAGCAGTAAATGCTCTTGAAGGAACTCTGTTAAATGAAGGGGAAAACAAAAGCAATCCCAGGCGTCTTTGTGTGATTTGTTGTGATTCTCCAAGAGACTGCTTCTTTCTTCCATGTGGACACTGTGCCGCCTGTTTTACATGTGGAACAAGGTAAATGAATCACCAACCTTATTATTAAAATGTTGCATCTAGTCCTCTTACTTTACGGAAATCAGTTTTAACTTAGAAATCTAATACAAATGAACTCTGCAGGATTGCAGAAGAGGCTGGAACATGTCCCATATGTCGAAGGAAGATGAAGAAAGTGCGGAAGATATTTACAGTTTAAGCAGCCAGCCGGTTTGAGTATATTGTGCAGATGCTTTCAGTTGGTGAAAGCTGTAAATTTAATGGTCCACTAACACTGTGTATTGCACCCTTAGAATTTTGTTGGTAGAGAGCTGTGATTGCAATAGGTTACATGAAAATTATTTGTTCATAAGGGTTTGAGTTAACCACTAAGAAAGAAATATTCAAACGTAAATGGAAAACAGAAAATGACAGAACAAGAAATCACCCATGAACCGAAACAGGGGAGTTCCTCTGTGTACATTTTTTTTTTCTTCTTTTGTGTGGTGATTTTACATGTGACCATAGATGCATTGAAGAGTTCAGAATAAATTAAAAGTGATCTCAAATGGGTATCATGTCCCATCCGCTTCCAGTTCAAGGACTACTATATTCTGCAGCAGTTATTGTTTGTGGACAGTTGTTGGTTATGAAGATCATGATGTGATATTAAATAATACTGATGGAGTTGGCCTAACTTTTGACCTAAAATGCTTGATTAATTTGGAGGATTGTTCACTCTTATAAACCCATTAGCTTAAGCGTGCTTAATTGATATGGGATTTTTAATACTTTCTCTCACAGTCAAACCCATATGATTCACTTACTTATGAATGGAGGTAGTTTGACAGTCCACTACTGGTTAATCACTCAACTCAAATAGGACTGATTCTGATACCACTTGTTATAGTTGGGTCTAACTCTTCACTCAAAATACCTTATTGAATAGGAGAATTGATCACTCTTAAAAACCCATTAGCTTGAGTCTGCCTAATCGTACGAGTTCTCCAACAAATACTAAACTAATCAAACAGTTTGAACACTATTGACTTTTTTGGGGTTTGAATCTGACTTTCATGCATAATTTCCTATTTCCCATGAAAATCTTGTTTAAATTTAGCTATATAGCATTGGAATTCACACATCAAACTTTAACAACAGAACAATTTAGAAGGGCCTTTCGTTCTTACTTACTGCTGTTCACTTAACAACAAATATTTTGTATACTACTATGAACGAGTCCGGCCAACTTAATATACACGTCAGCTTTTCATAGAAAAAGGTTTTTTTTTTTTTTTTTTTAATCAACACCCTGAAAGTCTCCCGTAGCCATCTCTGTTAACTCAGAAGCTTGAAAATTCTCTTTTTGTTATTTTATCAAGAGTTAATTCCTTAGACATCAAACCTCCGAGTTGGTTTTTTTTAGGTAAAACAAAATAATAATTGTAGTTAATTCACTGTAATACAGTTGTGCCCGTCGCAATAGTTTTTCCCCTGAAAGGCTGAAACCTGTTAAAACCAGGTGAACAGAAAAGCCTGTCAAAGTTTTTAACGAACAAAAATGAAAGTTAGAAAGCAAACCCAAATGGGTCAAAACGAAAACAGTGCATCGTAGCTGGAGCAAATCAATCAGAAATAGTTAATTTTCACAGTGTGACACGCACACAAATGGACGATATCTTAAAAAATTACCACATTCATTCTGAGAAAATCATGCGTTGTGCCCCACCTGGAGGTCCTGGACAACCAAAGCAGAGACACCAAGACAAAATTATACCCGAAAATGTCTCTGTTAAAGAAACACAACAAAGTGCACACCATTTTTAAACAGCACCCAACTTTACATAATGCTCCAAACAAAAACCCTCTCCTCGAAAACTTTACCATCCCCATGGGCCTCCTTTCTTCCAGAAACTCTATTCGCTCTCCCTCTTATCTTCTCCCTCTCCTCGTTTTGTTATCCATCTTCTCTCTCAGTGCTGTGTTCTTCCTCTACAAGGTAAAACTAGAAGAATAGAAGGGTTTACTTCATTTTTATTTGGTATTCAGATCTACTGACGAATTGTATCAAACAGGTTGATGACTTCGCTACACGGATAAAAACTTTGGCTGGAGACAACTTAGACCCAACGCCATGGCATTTATTTCCCCCAAAAGAATTACACAAAGACACTTCACCACGCTCCCGCGCGTACAAAGTGTTACACTGTTCGTATCTCTCTTGTTCCTCGTTATCTCAATGGCAAACACCGCTCCGTTTTGACTCCTCTAAACCGGTGGAGAATTGCCCGCAATTCTTTCGTTGGATCCACCATGATCTGGAGCCGTGGGCCAAGACTGGGATAAACATGACCCACATAATGGAAGCGAAGAAATTAGCTGCTTTTAGAGTTGTGATTGTTGGTGGGAGATTGTTTGTGGATCTTTATTATGATTGTGTACAGAGCAGAGCCATGTTCACAATATGGGGATTGTTGCAGATGCTTAAAAGGTACCCTGGGATGGTGCCTGACGTTGATATCATGTTTGATTGCATGGACAAGCCTGTTATTGATAGAACGACAAATGGGCCGTTGCCTCTGCCATTGTTTCGGTATTGTACAAATCAAAGAAGTTTTGATATCCCATTTCCTGATTGGTCGTTTTGGGGTTGGTAAGTAAAGACTTTGCTATTTTTATTTATTATTGTTTTGGTTTGATTCTGGTAGTACGTTTCATGTCAAAATAATTCTTCAATGCTGCATTACATGAGCTACATGTTTTCAATTTGATTGTTGAGAACAGAATTTAAACTGGCAAATTGTAATATAGTAAATGCATTTGGGAATGGAATCAATGTGATTTAGTATTATGCTTTTACTATTATATTCACTTAGCGGGGGAACTTATATATTTACTCTTTACATTGATTGGGTATTATTGCCTGCGTGAATGATTTACCTGGATGTCATTTGGTGCAGGCCAGAGACAAATTTACGACCCTGGAGTGAGGAGTTCCCGGACATTAAAGTAGGTTCCCATGCTAAAAATTGGTCACAGAAGTTTCCCCTTGCTTACTGGAAGGGAAATCCAGATGTTGCTTCTCCTCTGCGTTTAGAGTTACTAAAATGCAATGACACTGAGCGCTGGGGAGCGCAAATTATGCGTCAGGTTTGAATTGGAACTTGGATTTCCTTCTTGTATATGTATTAGTTTCACATCTTGAAGGTAATTTCGTATACTTATACAAATTCATGTTCTGGATGCTTCTTATTGTGCAATACAGAATTGGACTGAAGAAGCAAAAGATGGATTTGAGAAGTCCAAACTATCGAACCAGTGTAAGAATCGGTGAGTGATCTTCATTTTGCATTGTCATGTTTAAATAACAAGTTTTATCAACATCAACTAAGTTGTTTCATTTTAAAGTTTTCTTGTTTTCCTCGGTTATTGAAAGTAGCTTACAGAATAGAAATTTGAAGTTGTCATTTGCTGGCCAATTGACCATTTTCTTTTGTTGGAAAAAGCCAATCTTTATGACACTCTCTCATGTTAGTATAATATTATGCATTTAACATATCATTTTCTTTATGCAGGTACAAGATCTATGCTGAAGGCTTCGCTTGGTCTGTGAGCTTGAAATATATTCTATCATGTAATTCTCTTGCTCTGATAATTGCTCCTCAGTATGAAGATTTCTTCACCCGTGGTCTCATTCCTAAGAAAAACTACTGGCCTGTCTCTCCTACTAATTTGTGCCCCTCTATTAAATTTGCCGTTGACTGGGGTAACTCAAACCCATCTGAGGTATGATTGAACTCAATTTTGTTCATCTCTGTCAACAGGAATTCAGTAGCACTAGAACAAAATCTTCTGATTTCTGTTTTTTCTTTTGTTTCTTCTCATTTTAAAAATGGATAAACAGGCTGAGACAATGGGACAAAGAGGACAAGATTTCATGGAAAGCTTAAGTATGGATCGAGTGTATGATTACATGTTTCACCTTATCGCAGAGTACTCAAAGCTGCAGGACTTGGCACCATCTCCACCATCGTCTGCTCTCGAAGTTTGTGTTGATTCGCTGCTTTGTTTGGCTGATGCTAACCAGAGGAAGTTCCTTGAAAGAACATATACCTTTCCTTCACCAACCCCACCATGCAAACTTGAGCCTTCCAATCAATCTGTCATCAAGAGTTGGATGAATGAAAAAGAGGAAGCAATCAATGAGGTCAGGAGTTCTATCCTCGACACTCACAGTCAAGAAGACATGATGAACCCCCACAAACAGCACAAAAAAAAACAGTCTTCTACTACGTTTCTACGCGTCGTATCATGTCAATAGCTCAATTTCAAATGTTGAACGCAGTGGCATGAGAGATGAGTTTGGTCTTGCCTTGTGTACTTGTACCTTCTGGTTCTTCGGTTCGTTTCTTTTCTTTTCATTTTCTTATTGAAACTCTTTCTGGGTGCTTGTTTCTACTGAGGTTTAATTTTAAATTTAATTGTTTTTTCTTTTGGTTTTGATTTCAACATCTATTACCAGCAGCTTTCATGACTTGATTCTTGGTATCTTTGGCTTGTGGATTTAAATTGGGCCTAATTACTCGCGCCTCTACGAAACTAATTCAATATTTGTTCAATCAATCAAGGTGGTTTTGAGCATTTGTCGTTCAACTCATTACATTGTGCCATGGCTGTGCTTTTAACACTTGTTTTTGCTTCATACAAGGTTGAAGAACTAGACAGCAAAATTCTGGGTCATTAATGCTATATGGGTTTCAAAACCTCCTCCCTTGGATGTTGAAATTACTGGACTGAGACTCACAATGCTTGAGTTCAAGTTGATTTGACAAGGCACATATCCAACCCACTTGCTATATTTACTGCTTTACTTATTTTTCAGTAAATTCTAGGAACTTTGCTTCGATTAATGGGTGGAACTGTATTTTCTTCTTGTTAGGAGTGGTTATACCTTAAGAGGGGTCTGATGTGTTATCTCATACAGAGTAATCTCCAAGTTCTCACCCTTATCCCTTGTAATTGCCAAAGGTAAATAATTTCTTGTCCAACAATTAGAAGTTTTGGAAATTTAATTTGTGTCTCATTCCTTTAATCAACTACCTTCTTACATGGTTGTATATCAATGGTGTCAAGATCTGTGCTTGCAACATTTTATGGCTTGCAAGAAGTTGCAGGAACAGTTTACTAATTCTTCAGTAACTAAGATATAAATAAATTAGTTTATTTTCTTTTTACCCTTTTAGAGGCATTTTATACAGTAATTAAAATAATCTACCTGTAAATCTATAGTTATGACTGGATTGTAGGACTGCTTACCATTCCGTCTTGCATGCTGTGAAATGAGGAAAAGAAAACTATTGGTGCCAAAAGAGGAATCTGTTTTCAATTTATTCTATTTTCTCTTAACGTTTTTCTAAATTTGCAGGAAGTGAAAGCCTTGAAGAGTGGATGACGACCCATCATATCCTAAACAACTTTGTCTTGGGATATTATAGATGGTAAAATTTATATGTTAAAATAGTTTTTTTTTTCACTTCATGATAGATTTATTGCTCTAACCGGATGCTTTTACTTCACAGGAAGTGGTAAGATCCAGCAAGAAATTTCTGAGTCTTCTACTTATTATATTGCTGTGGGTAACTTGAACTCTCAGGAGTGGAGGTAATTCTCAAACATTTTCATTTTATACTCTTGTAGTATGATTTTATCAACTTTTAATGATTTCATCACCTTAGCTAGACAATGAAGTCCCATTATATCGGGCTCTGCCAGTGTGACAGGGTTGTCACTTGAAACTAAAATGCACCCGCATTGCCTATTGATTTGGCTACAAAATAATCCTGTTACGTTTTTTGAACCTTGCCACTCTCGTTTGAAATATTGATAGAGAACAATGGCCAGGGAGCTGCAGCAGTAATAGGGAATTAAAATTTTGAGTTGCACTTTCCATCAGCACTCAATTGATTCTTGTGCTACCTGTAGCCTTTCCAATGAAAGTAAATGGGGTGTTTGTGATAAACATAGAGCATTTAATTTGTTGTTATAATCTTGTACTTGAGAATATATTTACAGAAATGTTGACAACTTCACATCATTAGACAATTTATTCCCATGTAAATTTGCTGTACAGGTACAATTGAATTTCACAATTAGTGCCTTCATCTATAAACGACTAAGGCTTATTACAAGTGCTCACCGGGCAGCCGTTCGTGTAGTTTAACACTTCCTTCTAGGGGCAAATGTGCTGTCTTACATCTCCAGGTCCGACACAGGTAAAAAGATAAATATTTGTTAACTTTTTGCCACTCAATGCTTTCCTATAGCTGTTCAAGGATTTTATCCACTCGATTTCCTGGTTCTCATCGTGGTCAATGTTGACCTACAATTCAAGTTCTCTATGTTTTTGTATGTGAGTTTTGGATGATTATGTTGTTTAGGGTTCCAGTGATAATGGTCTGTCAAACTCTCATATGGACCCCGATGGATCGCATATTTTGTCGGATCAGGTTATTCTTGTTTCCCTTCAACTCTTTCATGGAATCAGAAAGAAAAATGTCTCATCTTTACATTTGTTGCCTTTCAATGCGTATGTAGGGGTGATGACCATCTCATGTTGTTGGTCTTAGATTCTTTAGCCTGTGAGTCTACCAGGTGGAATGGAACAGGAATTCAAGCTGGAGAATGGGACCGGATCGGGCACCATTGCTTTCAAACAAAGATGACGATCTCTCCAGCTGGGGTTCATCTTACGATTCTGTGTCACATGATGATGAAGATTTGGATGAATGGCTAGCAGTAAATGCTCTTGAAGGACTCTGTTAAATGAAGGGGAAAACAAAGCATCCCAGGCGTCTTTGTGTGATTTGTTGTGATTCTCCAAGAGACGCTTCTTCTTCCATGTGGACACGTGCCGCCGTTTTTACATGTGGAACAGGTAAATGAATCACACAACTATTATTAAAATGTTGCATCTAGTCCTCTTACTTTACGGAAATCAGTTTTAACTTAGAAATCTAATACAAATGAACTCTGCAGGATTGCAGAAGAGGCTGGAACATGTCCCATAGTCGAAGGAGAGATGAAGAAGTGCGGAAGTATTTACAGTTTAAGCAGCCAGCCGGTTTGAGTATATTGTGCAGATGCTTTCAGTTGGTGAAGCTGTAAATTTAATGGTCCACTAACACTGTGTATTGCACCCTTAGAATTTTGTTGGTAGAGAGCTGGGATTGCAATAGGTTACATGAAAATTATTTGTTCATAAGGGTTTGAGTTAACACTAAGAAAGAATATTCAAGTAAATGGAAAACAGAAAATGACAGAACAAGAAATCACCCATGAACGACAACAGGGGAGTTCCTCTGTGTAATTTTTTTTTCTTCTTTTGTGTGGTGATTTTACATGTAACCATAGATGCATTGAAGAGTTCGGAATAAATTAAAAGTGATCTCAAATGGGTATCATGTCCCATCCGCTTCCAGTTCAAGGACTACTATATTTGCAGCAGTTATTGTTGTGGGACAGTGTTGGTTATGAAGATCATGATGTGATATTAAATAATACGATGGAGTTGGCCTAACTTTTGACCTAAAATGCTTGATTAATTGGAGGATTGTTCACTCTTATAAACCCATTAGCTTAAGCGTGCTAATTGATATGGGATTTTTAATACTTTCTCTCACAGTCAAACCCATATGATTCACTTACTTATGAATGGAGGTAGTTTGACAGTCCATACTGGTTATCACTCAACTCAAATAGGATGATTCTGATACCACTGTTATAGTTGGGTCTAACTCTTCACTCAAAATACCTATTGAATAGGAGAATTGATCACTCTTAAAAACCCATTAGCTTGAGTCTGCCTAAGTACGAGTCTCCCAACAAATACTAACATAATCAACCACCGAGTGAGACATTATTGACCTTTTTGGGGTTTGAATCTGACTTTCATGCATAATTTCCTATTTCCCATGAAAATCTTGTTTAAATTTAGCTATATAGCATTGGAATTCACATCAAACTTTAAAACAGAACAATTAGAAGGGCTTTCGTTCTACTTACTGCTGTTCACTTAACAACAAATATTTTGTATATACTATGAACGAGTCCGGCCAACTTAATATACACGTCAGCTTTTCATAGAAAAGGTTTTTTTTTTTTTTTTTTTTAATCAACACCCTGAAAGTCCCGTAGCCATCTCTGTTAACTCAGAAGCTTGAAAATTCTCTTTTGTTATTATCAAGAGTTAATCTCAGACATCAAACCTTCGAGTTGGTTTTTTTAGTTAAAACAAAATAATAATTGTAGTTAATTCACTGTAATACAGTTGTGCCGTCGCAAAAGTTTTTCTGAAAGGCTGAAACCTGTTAAAACCAGGTGAACAGAAAAGCCTGTCAAAGTTTTTAACGAACAAAAATGAAAGCTAGAAAGCAAACCCAAATGGGTCAAAACGAAAACAGTGCATCGTAGCTGGAGCAAATCAATCAGAAATAGTTAATTTTCACAGTGTGACACGCACACAAATGCACGATATCTTAAAAATTACCACATTCATTCTGAGAAATCATGCGTTGTGAATTCAAAATTACAAACTCCATTAGTTTGTAAAGGTAGATTCTCAAAAGTCAAACCAACTTACTTTAAATGTTATGAAATATAAATATAAATGTATTCACGTTACTTTTTCTACAAAAATGTTTATTAACCCTCATACTTTTTAATTTTATTTTATATTAGTCTTGGTTCCCGGTTCTGGTTCCAATCGGTTCTTTTAAACATCCCTAGTAGCCAATGCATTTACTTCAGGTATTAATTGAATAAGTTCATATTTATTAAGATAATCAAGAACAACAATTATATGTAGATATATATATGATGTTAATAGATGTATTGTTAATATGTTCAATAAATGTTTAGGTATTACCTAATGACTGTTTGAAAACCTGGCCTGGCCTAGCCACTTCTACCGGTCGAACTGGGACCTGCGACCTTCTCTGGACTAAGTCACCCCTGTCTATTGTTTAAAACCCCAAATTCACAAAGAAGCAAACCCTATAGAGGAGGGCGGCGATCGGGGAACAAACGATGGCGAGGTTGTTGGGGGGTTTTGGAGAGAAAGCATCGGTGAGTCGAAAGGTGGAGACAAAGGTGATTTTCGATGAGTGAAACTATTAGAAAAGGCAAAAGTTGGGTGGCCACAACAGCATA